CGATACGTTCATTATATAGTATTTGTAAATAAATATAAGTTTTAATGACGAATGACTTACGTCACAAAGCATATAAATATTAAATAAATATACAACTTCTTTAGTTCTGTGCTTAAGATTTGAAACAACAGTAAATCAAAAAAAAAAGGAAAAGTAAAAAGCACTAGTGCGAAAATTCCAACTTTCGGCACGATTATACGATATGTAGTGCAAAAAATACCACGTTTTGAGCAACTGTATTAAAAAATAATTGAAAGTTAAAATAAAAACGACACTTTTCCCTCCAAAAGGCCCAGAGCGAATCCCCAACCCAACGTCCCCAGCAGTGTTGCCAGACTGTTGTGAAGTTAATTCGCCAATTTACGTATGTTTAGTAGCCAATATTCGCCCAAGCCATAAAATAATCAGCAGAGTTGGAAAAAACTGCGTATTTATCGTTATGCTTTATTTAAAAAGCGTTCTTTTTTAAAACGCTTTTTCACATAAACGCTTTATAATTTGAAGCCAACAAAATCTTTTAGAAAACGTGCTTGCAAAGTTGTGTTGATAGCGAAACGCAAGAGTAGACCAGTAAGGGTTTTAAGTTATGTTAAGTTTTTTGTAAAAAAAACAAGTTATATTTTTATTAATAATAATTTTTTTTTTAATTCATTGAGACGAAAAATTTATTCGAAATTACAAAACCGCTGTTGAAAATGTAAAACCGCTTATCAGTAATTATTTATAATATTTATTCGTCGCAAACAAGGAATTATCTTCTAACGCCGCCAGTACGCATCTCAAGGGAGGGAGGGAGTCACCAATATTTTTCCAAAATTACATTTGTTGGTTTTATGGGTAAACTCTTCACAACAGAAGGAACAAAGTCCACTGCCTCCTTTTAATTTCTGAGCCCCTTCATATTTTTTTTTTATTTTTTTATTTTTTTTTGAGTTATTCTTTATTTATGTTAACATTTTGTTCATTGGCGAGTAAAACCTTTAAAAATATAAGTTGTTTAACTTTTGTATATAGTTGTTAACCGTTGAAATGGAAAAAACTACTTATTTCTTTTACGTTAAGACGTACGTTTTTACGCTTGCGCAAAAATGTACGTAACTTGATGTTTTTAAAAGTCGTTTAGAAACACGTATAAGCGCAATAGTCTTTAATAAGGGTCGTATTCTAGAACTCTCAATGCTCAATGCTCAAGGCAGGATTTGAGTATGATTCAAAGCACTAGAAATCATACTCAAGCCCTTGCCATAAGGGTCGTATTACCAGTGCTTGAAATCATACTCACTTCACTTCACTTTTTATTTTTATGGCTCCATCAATATGAGAGCTGATGATTTTACCAATGTCACAGTTGAAAGAAAAAAAACGAAACAAAAAAAAATTTTCGCTAAGCTCTAATAGGACATTAACCGGTGTTGGTAAGTTGGACTACGGGAGTACTCAGTTGAGAATGTAAAACAAAACAGCAAAACAATATTTATAAATATATGTTATTTAAGTGGATAAATTTACATAGAGTAACAATATGGGGGGAGAACACTAAAGTTAAGAGGTTGTTTATGTTAATGGGGCGGGGGAATTTTGGAGAAAGTAAGTTATAAAGTGGAACAGCAATATTAGGACAATTGAAAAAAATGTGTTCCAAGGTACCGTCTTCTAGGCCGCACTCGCACAGAGAGTGATCTCGAACTCTGATTTTACGCAAAAATACAGGTGTGCAAACATGGCCTAAGCGCAAACGAATAATAGTGGAAGTGATGTTTTTAGGCAAATCGCACGTTTAAAAAACCAGGGTTTAGTGGGTAGATTTGGTTGGAGGTTACCATAGTGTAAATCATACTCAAGTCTGCTGAAATCCTGACTTGAGCATTGAGTAGAGTTCTAGAATACGAGCCTATGTTTAAAAAAGTTTGTAACGTTATGTTGAATCAATTTGATTAGAACACATAGATGGCGCTACTTGAAACTTAGGCACAATATGGAGTGTATGATATATTAGGGGTTAAAGTATGAAATTGCCGTTTTATTGCAATAGGTTC